GACACATGGATTGGTTTAAACAGTATACCCTAGAAATTGAAGGCGACGTCATTGACATCGACTGAACTTTTCAATTTGCAACATGTTTGATTTTTATCAGAACACGCTAAAAATCGCTTTTAAAAAAAAGGTTTATACTGATAACTTAGATTATCATGTTTAATCTGAATATGCGTTTCTTTTTTGTTGGGTATCTTTCCATTTCATGGTGAAAGAAAAAATGTAAATTTAGATTTTTAGAATGTAGAATTTTTAGAATGTAGACTGATAGGCTTGAATCACACGAGGCCTTTCATGTTAGTTTCAATAGACCCCGGCCATTGATTCGAACCTAAAGACATCCACTGTGATCAGCACGAGATTTACATGCGTGTTAGACCTCCCTAGCTCCTGATCTATCGCTTGGAGACATTTACATGTCTTCAGAATGGTCAATATATCAATTCATCTCACTTTCAAATAGTTATTACAGAGAAAACAAACAAAAATAGAAATTAGATTTTATTTATAAACACAATCGACCTGTATCTTACACAAACGCCTTGCAGGTTGCATCAATTATTTGTGAGGAAACATTTTTAAAAGACGCAATCATAATTTCAATCACAGAAACTAAGAAAAATTGTATAATATTTCAGAAATGATCGCCTTTTCCTGATCTGAAGAAAATTAGGTATATTCCATGATATTAATTACTTTTTTTCCTAATGCACTGTTGATTTCAATTTTACATCATTAGCTGTTCCTGTTGGTGGCCTATGTGTATTAGACATTCAGTGTAGAGACACAACCTACTCTGGTGTTTGCTTGAATTTTAGATGTACATGTGGAGAGGGATATACTGCAATACAAAACCGTTGTTATGCAGGTAAATTATTGTAAAAAAGGCTTTTTGAAGATGAAAAAAAATCTTTGCTTTGGGTTAAAATTTTCGAAACTCTTAATATTGGCATTTTTTCGAAGATTATTAAGATGGAATTGAAAAGTACATCTGATTTTTTGGCTATGTACCGTATACTAGTAAGTGGAAATTTTAGCGAGATGAAAATTTATCAATTTTTACCTAAAATCTGGTATTTCATTTTCAGCGAGAAGTAAATTTAGCGATTTTAAAATGCTTACTAAAGAAGCTCAAATAATACGCCATTAATTTTTAACATATTCAATTTTAGCGATGTCAGCACCCTCGTTAATAATACCAAAATTAAATCCTTGCTAAAAATTCTACTTATACGGTATTTTTTTAAAACCCCAAACCAAGTTTTAGAACATACTTTTTATATCGATTGATCAGTGCGTATATTGTTTTTGTCCTGTATGTATGTACATGTATTTATGTGTATTTTTCTGTCAACTTTAACCTTCGCTATAATTTTTGAACCATGAAAGATAGAAACTTCAGATTTGGTATGCATACTCTTATAATCGCCAACTTTGAATGACCTTGTGACTTTTACTGTGACCTACATGAATATGCTTAAGATTATTTTCAAATGAAACCAAGGTGAAAACCTTGTCACCTTTACTGTGACTTATGAGTATGCTAAAAATAGTTTTGAAAGGATACCAAAGTCAATAACCTTGTGACCTTGACTGTGACCTACCGGTAAATGCAAAACATAACTTTTTTCGTACATATTCCTAACCTTTTGAACCATATATAGGATATTTGGTAGGCAAATTCCACTAATTAAGCTCTTTCAGTTGCCTGCAAGATTTATTACTTTGACCTTGACTGTAACCTATATGCAAAAATGGCCTTGATGAAACTTGTTCATAACTTTTGAACCAAAATAGAAAGATATTGTATACAGCTCAACGCACTTTTTAAAAATCATATAGTTTTTTGCACAAATTAAGCATGTTAAGGTCACATTGTTATAATGCAAAATTGTGAAACGCAACTTGGTAACAAAATATATTTTAAATATGATATATTACTTGATTTTGATCTTATTCATTACTTCAAACATAAATCACACATGATAATTGGTAGAATTTTTGTATGTTATTGGATGGTTTTTCGTCAAATGCAGCCGTCTTTGTATCCGTTCATTTTAAAGCATACATTTGCATTGCCTAAATAAAGAAACAGTGCAGTTTCTGTAACTTCTGTAATTTCTTTCAATTAATATGACACTAAGGCGCAAAATGATAGAAGTATTTCTCATCTGTTTGACAGCTTTCCATGTTAAAGATGGTATTTTGTCAGATTAACTTTCTGATATCTTGGATCAGGAAAGATACCTTCCAACGCAAAATTTCAAAGTTTCAGATCATAATGTAAAATAATTTTCTTTTAAATAGTAACAATTTACTATGTTGAAAGATAAACAATACTTTATTATCCTATCCTTTGGCATGGTTTCTTTATGCAGTTTTGTCATTTTTCGGCGCTACATTTCGACAAAACCAAGAAAAGTACGGGATATATGCAAAGTTTTTAGAAAAATATTCATCTGTAAGAAGTCAATTTGAACATTTCAACTAAATAGTATCAAAGAAAGCTCGATTTATTAATTTATGAATACCCATGGTGTAGAATCGTACACATATAACATCATACAATTTATGAAATTATTCCTTTTAAAACATCGAGTTTTAAAACTTAAGATAATGATTTTAGATAATATGCGCCTTAATCATGATTGATTGATTGATTGATTGTATATTGTTTAACGTCCCTCTTGAGAATTTTTCACTCATATGGAGACGTCACCGTATGCCGGTGAAGGGCTTCAAATTTAGACCTACACTCGGCACTCAGGGCCATTGAGCAGTGAGGGTTCTTTATCGTGCCAGCGCCTACCGTGACACGGGACCTACGTTTTTAAGGTCATATCCGAAATACCCGTGACTTTCACTTCTAGTGCCGAGTGCTTGGCGAAGGAACAGTCACTACCTTTGTTTACGTCTTAGGTATGACGCCGCGCCGCGAACGAGAATCGAACTCGGGCCTCCCGATCACGAAGCGAACGCTCTACCACTAGGCTACCGTGACCGGTTCTTAATCATGAAATATGTAATAAAATAAGGGTTACATCTCGTTCTGAAGCTCGATAATTTTAAGTTTTATTGCAAGAAAAATGTGACCTTATTTTGTGCGAAAAAAAAAATGTGAGTATAAAAGATGCGTTGAGCTGTATTTAGTTTGTATACTTCACACAAATTACGTTCTTCCAAATGACATCAAAGTCAGTGACACTGAGGCCTTGACTGTGATTTATATGCTGAAAATAACTTTACGAACTTTGTTGCCACCAGGCACATATTGTTTCATAAACACATTTTTTATCTTAATTTTAATAAGTGAAATTTAGAGCATACTAGTAGTAAGATGTGAATTGAGAATGACCTCTTATATTCTCAGTTTTGTATTGCTTAAATAAAACGAATACCAGCTTGTATGTGCTCGTATGTTGAAATTGAATGGGCTTATCCTTTGCAGGCTTAACCCCTGTTATTATTCAATGAAATACTGTGAAAATATAAAATAAAAAATAAAAAAATATGTGTATAAATGGTACTTTAAGAATATGAATTCATTTCAATGCTCAGATTTTCAAAGCAGTACATATAATTCATATACATTCTACTGTATATAAACCAGATAATTTATCTTATTTTTAGCTCAACTGAGCCAAAGGCTCAAGTGAGCTTTTCTGATCACAATTTGTCCGTTGTCTGTCGTTGTTGTCGTTGTCGTCGTCGTCGTTGTCGTTGTAAACTTTTTACATGTTCGACTTCTTCTCGAGAACCGCTGGGCCAATTTCAACCAAACTTGCCACAAAGCATCCTTGGGTGAAGTGAATTCAAAGTTTATTCAAAAGAAGGGCCAAGCCCTAATTTAAGGGGAGATAATTGGGAATTAATGGAAATTTGGTGGTATCCTTTTAAAATCTGTTTCTCAAGAACCACTATGCCAGGAAAGATGAAACTTATGGGGAAATATCCTCAGGTAGTGTAAAATCAAATTTGTTCAAATCATTACCCCCGGGGATAGGGCGGGGCCACATTGGCCGACCAAAGTTTTACATAGAAATATACAGGAAAATTCTTTAAAATTTTCTTCTCAAGAGTAACAAAGCCATAATTGATCATATTTATATGGAAGCATCCTCAGGTCGTGTAGATTCAAGTGTTGTCCAAATCATGACCCCAGGGGGTAGGACGGGGCCACAACGGCCGACCAAAGTTTTACATAGAAATATATAGGAGAGTTCTTAAAAATATTCTTCTCAAGAATAACAAAGCCATAATTGATCATATTTATATAGAAGCATCCCCAGGAAGCGTAGATTTAAGTTTGTTCAAATCTTAACCCCCGGGGGTAGGGCAGGGCCACAATGGCCAATTAAAATTTTACATAGACATATCTAGGAAAATTCTTTAAAAATCATCTTATCAAGAAAAGCAAAGCCATGACTGGTCATGGGACTTCTTTAAATATAAATATTTAATAATAATCCAATTTCTCTTTTTCCCAGCCACAGTGCTCAGGTGAGCGATGTGGCCCATGGGCCTCTTGTTTTTTAACTTGAGCACATAATCGAAAGATTTTCTTTGAATGAAGCATATACATTTGTTTAAGCACTACAAAACTTTTCTCGAACGTTTAACTCAAATACGTATTAGCATACTGCAAGTTGCATGTCATAATTCTTTATACACACAAGTACTCTAAGGTATGCATGTGTCCTCATATTGTATTTTTGTCACTTTCTTTTTCCATGTAGCCTACAAATCAAGAAATTAAAGCTCTCAATGCTTTCTTTTAAGTCAAAAAATTGCCGTGCACCGCCCATCTAAATTCAATAGTTAAAATGTTTTCTAATGCATTTAATGGACATTATTCTTGATATTTCATCATATAATATAAGAAATGAATAATTTTGGTTAGTAGTTAACGAAATATTTTAAATTATTGGCTGCCCTTTTCTTTGACAACCCTCTTGTACACTTTATGTTTAATGTACTGCAAGAAATTACATTTTAGGTGAAGTGGCTTTAGGTGGATTTTGCTATAGGGACGAGCAATGTACTGGAAGTTTTAATGCAGACGTGTGTAAGGATAATAGGTGTACCTGCAAGAGTGGTTTTATATCATGCAACCAAACATGCTATCAAGGTAATTTTAAATACAGTTTTTCAACCCTGATCTTCAATCAATTTGTTCGTATATATAGTGCCAGTCCCCGTGTGTGTCGTTCACCTTTCAACTTTCGAGTTTAATTTCTCTACATTTTTTGTTAATCTACAAATTACAATATTTATACTTTCACTGTATTTTCCTTATGAAATCCATTAGAAATCCACGACGTTCAAATCTCTATAACACATACGAAAAGATGTCACCGCGCGTTAGAATAAACAGTAGGAACTATATGCATTTTCAGTACTCTAGAATACCAAATTGTACATTGTTTTGACTCAAATTAATTAAAAAAAAACTATTATCCCGTTTAATCAACTTATAAAAAACAACAAATGTGCGTTTAGAATTAATTTTCATTTTTCCTCACAATGTTGTTTGCGTTTTTTAACTGCGCAACATCACAAATTGCTCTTACGTCTATAACAGCTAAATTAACATGCAAAATTGACAAAATAAAGAATTATGAAGATGGAAAATTAGAGAATTTAAATATAAGCATTGAATTCATATTTTTGGAAGACTCCGGTCCTATAATACACCTAAATCTGCTGACAAATTATCATACCCGCGCGGTAATCAATTTGCCTGTTAAAGACTAATAATGATTCCCATCGAATAATTACCGGGAGGTTCATTTTTCAACGATATAAAGTGACCCCCACCCGTAGAAAAAAATCATTTTTGTAGAAAAAGAGCCCTTGGGGTCATTATGGTATATGTTAGTCTTATATAAAATTGACCCCCATTGAAAAATGACTCCATTTACAGTGATACAAAATTTTTATTAGGTGAGAGGGGGAAAAATAATTGATATTATGTTTGTTCTTCCTTCGAGTAATTTATGCATTTGTTCGAATATATTTGATCTTTGTTCTTCTTCATACAGTGGTAATAAATTCCTCATTTCTCTCTGCCGAAATATTAACAAATAAGTTTTAAGCAATAGACAATCAATCACTGAATCTTTGTTTCTCTGTTGAAGGAGCAAAACCAGAAAATCAAAGATGGTACATGGATCAAGCGCACCATGTCGCTGGAGATAAAATTTATGAATATGGTGCATTGTTATCAAAGACCTTCCCCCAGCCAATTTTTAACCCCGTAATCAAAGAATCGAGTGCATATATTTTTCGCCCTGTCTGCCTTCCTGTTACCGTGTAAAAAAATGTTGGGACCTTTTTTGTAATAGAAAGCATTTCATGCAATAGCAGGAGAGTGCATATTATTTTATTAGCTTGTCACAATAATTCTAGTTTATGAAAGAGAGTCACTATGACAGCTCAAATACAGTAATTAAGTTAAACTATATAAAGCATGCATGTAGTATCACGTTTGGTTTGGGAAGGGAGGAGGGGGAAGAAACATCCCTCTCCCCCAACACACACACACACTTGAGTTTGGAGAATTTCCCCACTTTTTCTTTTTTGTGCAGTTTTTATGCCTACCCCACACCACTTTCAAAAACGATACTACGTGTCTGTCATGAACAACGGATGACCGTAACCTTTAGTACTGAATCCCTAAGATATATTTTCCTGCTGCCCTAATTTAGAAACAATATTGCAAGCCATACATGACCTCAGTAGCTACTGGTACCTATAACAGAAATCTTGAAGGGCTATATATGAATGTCTAAAACTTAAACTAGCCCTAAAATATATTTCATAACATGTTATAAAGTGAATTTTTATGCCCCCGTAAACGACGTTTCGGGGGTATATAGTTTTTGTCGTGTCCGTCTGTCTCTTTGTCTATCACTCTGTCTCTCTGTCTTTCTGTTTGTCCGCAAAAACTTTAACCTTGCCCATAACTTTTGATCTAGTGGAGCTATGGCATTCATATTTCATATGTGTATTCCTTGTGACAAGACCTTTCTTTGGGTATCACCAAATTTGACCTTTTGACCTTGACCTTTGAATTTGACCCACTTTTACACAAAAATTCTTAACTTTTAATTTGGCCATATCTTTTGAACAGTAAATACCAGGACATTTATACTTGACATGTATATTGTTAGTGAAAAGACCGTTCATTGGATGTCAACAATCTTGACCTTTTGACCTTGACCTTAGAGATTTATGTACTTACAAAAAAACTTTAATCTTGGCTGTAACTTTTAAACTAAAAGTGCTAGGGCTTTTATTTTTTCACAGTTTTAATTGTTGTGAAAAGACGCTTTATTTGATACCAAAAACCTTGACCCTTTGATCTTGACCTTGAAGTTTGACTTACTTTAAAAATACAACATTGACCATAATTTTTGAAGGGTTAGTACTAGGGCTTTCATACTTCACATGTTCAATTCTTGTGACAAGACCTCTCATTTGATACCAAAAACCTTGATCTTTTGACCTTGACCTTGAAGTTAGACCCACTTTTACCCAAAAATTGTAGATTTTTACTTTGGTCATAATTTTTAAACGGTAGTTACTAGGAATTTCATTTTTCAAATATCACTTCTTGTTGACAAGACCTTTCATATGAAACCAAGAATTTTGACCTTGACCATGGAGATTTCCGTACTTACGAAAACACTTTAACCTTGGTCATAACTTTGAACGGTAAGGGCTAAGGCTTTCATACTTCAAATATGTAATTCTTGTGAGAAGACATTTCATTGGATATCATTAACTTTGAATTTGATCTTGGAGTTTGACCATACAAATTTTCACCTTGGCCATATCTATTGAACAGTAAGGGCCAGCACTTTCATACTTATCATATGTAATCTTTGAGACAAGGCCTTTCATTAGAAACCATTAACGTTGACCCTTTGACCTTGATCCAGAGTTTGTCCTTCATTTAAAAATGTTTACCTTGGTCATAACCCTTGAACAGGTGGTGTTTTTTATTTCACATATGTATTTCTTCTGAAAAGGCCTTACTTAAGATACCAACATAATTGATCAGCATTAGAGAAACCTTAACCTTTGCTATGTTGCCATACGGGTGCATCAGTGCTTCACAAACACACCTTTTTTTAAAAATAAAAGCTTTGTATTCAACTAGTCCATTTTCCTTTTCTCTAATAAAAACATTTTGTCAGTTTTTGCATTCATGTCCAGTACACTTTATAAATTCGATATTGTCAGCATCGCAATGACAACAATGTTGACAAGATATTATTATAAAATATTCTACATTGTTTTTATTCATTATGAAGATATTGCAGTGTACACGATGTTGATACGATGTCGCTTTTACAACGTCTACATTGTTATAATTCTTTTCATTGTATGTCGACATTGTACATGTCGACTTTGCAATGTAAACAATGTTGTTGCGGTATCGCCTTTACATCGTCTACATTGTTTTTATTTCTATAATGTGTGCCGACATCTTCGACATTAGGGCTGTGTATTGAGCCGAAAATTTCGATACCATACAATATTTTTTAAAACGATATGCGATATATTGTATTCTGAAACAAGTTCATCATAAAAGGCTTCTCAATTATTTTAATGTATACATTTCATAACAATTAAGGGTTTTATTTCCCATGTTAAAGTTCTTGTCTCATTGTCTTTAAAAATAACACTTCAGTTAAAACTTTCGATGACAGTAAAATCAACATGTTCAAATAAATTTCCCTTTGCATTTTGTAATAATTATAAAAACTGTGTTATTTCCTTAGAATTTATATAAATATTGAAGGTTTTAATTCAGAAAAAAAAAATATTATCCTTGGTGATTGAAATTCCCACCTTTTAAACAGAATTTGAAGAAAAAAATTTCTGTCCGATACATATTGGAAGTTACTTTTCGAAACGATATTTTCCTTGAATATCGATACGTATCGATATATCGATAAATTGATACAGCCGTATTCGACATAGCAATGTAAACAATTTTGAAACGAAATCGCGTTTACATCGCCTACGTTTGTATTGTTTCTACATGTCGACATCGTTGACATTGCAATGTAAACAATGTTAATGCCATATCGCGTTTACATCGTCTACATTGATATCATTTCTTTTGTGAATGAAAATAATATACAACACTTATATAATATGATTTTATGCGTAAAATGTGTTGTAAAGGATTTTATCAAGATTACGGAAACGTATAACCGCCTCGTGTTGTTGTTTTAAAAATGTTGTCAAATACAATTACTTCAAGGTTTGGCGATTTAATTATTACATCAATCTCTGATGAATAATACTTTTCTGATATATTTTAGACGACTTTTAAGTACGGCTCCGTGTAAAAATCATGCAGGCAGTACAGAAAAGGTGATTCATCGACGATCTTCAAATTCAATAAAATTGGGTTTAATATATTCATTTGGGTCTAAATTGAATATAAACAGGTGATTTTGTTATAATTCTTCTTTTTTCATATAGCCAGGGATAAAGTACTTGAGGTGTAATTTTGTACAGATAGTGTGCAAATAATGCCTATTTCAGAAAAGAATATCTTTAAAACCCTAGAAGGAGTACAAAACCTTAATACATAATTCAAGTGAACATGGAAGGCTTAACAAAAATTTACTTTAATATTTTTGTGCAAACGAAGTATTGAAAAGATACAAGGTGTTTAAAATCGAGAATTTGTCAAGATTCTTCAAATGAGTTATTTTACATAGGTGGCGCTAGTAAAAATAAATGGCAGCCTCCATGGAATGCTGTACGCTGCAAAGTTATTTTGATGCATCATGTGATGTTTATTGCAAAAATATGTGTGAAGTGACATAAATTGGTTGAAAGGATTCTACAATAGCAGATTAGGCATAGTTTTCGGGCAAAAGTATAGCCATGTGTCGTGTTGATTAGTATATTGACCTTGTTGACGTTCTCCCGAAAATAGGCGAAATGGTACTCGCCTACTGACACCGTTGTGATCTATCTCAGAAGTTTAAATTCTACGGTAACCCACCAGAGTCCAAGAGTAAACTCTCAGAGAGGGGTGGCAGTCCGATTTTGTCAGCTTACTCGACTTGGAGAGGGAAGATAATGTACATTTGGACAGTT